CCTCTCTTGGGTTCAGGTGTCGAGTTCGAGGGGCCTGTTCCATGCATGATACAAGGAGACCAGTCAGGTAAGGTAGGTTGAGACAGGGAGTTGCCAATAAAGCGACTCGTGTCTGCATTGAGGAAGTGAGCATTGCAAGTCTGATTCATTAGTAAAGAAGGACCGCATTTGCCCTCAGTGAACTAGGCAAGGTGGATGGTAATATGAGTGAAGTCCCCGTATCCAGGCCGTAAGTGCATTATGCATGGAAATGCAATAATGAGTATTGCGTCCTTAAGAGGTATAGACGGATTATGCGAAGACGCAGGCCAGTCCAGGTACTCAGGGGCAGAGAACCTTGTGAGCCAATCAGAACTTGGTTGAAAGGACATGAAAGGATCGACCGCCAGGGGGCGCGCTCGGGGAAAAAACCGCGTCGGAGGTGCTGTCACTTTGGCGCATTTTCAAGACCTGAGCGCACTTGTGACTTGGTCGATTTGTCGATTTGTCGATTTCTTGCCTCGGGTTCCCTCACCAAGGCACCTTACCAACTCGTTGCTACCTCAGATATCCTAAACGAGCGTCCCGCAAGGGAAAGTCTGCCTCATCGTGTGTTCTGCGCTCCTTTGACTGCAGCACCAAGGTTTTGTATCTACCACTTCAGGGCTCCATACATCAAGGTACCTACCTTAACAAGCGCAAAGCACCTATCGCACCAGGATTGGCCGACGGTCCAACGCACCATCCCGTCATCCTCATTTCCTTCACAGGGTACCACGTCCGGATTCTTCGGCCGCGACTCTTCACAACTTGACCCATTCTACAACACATCAAGCTGTCGACTCGCCTTGCGCATCTCTTCGTCTCTCCAGCCAACTTGTGCGATCGAATTAACATTATCCCACCTCTGCCTTCTCGTCAAAGCCATCATGGACGCAGGCGAGGCCCAAACGAAGCTGATCGCCTGGCTGCACGAGGCCTCCGAGGCCTTTCAGAAAGTCCCTGGATCAGCCGTTCTAATTCGCTACATCCAATCGAGCTATCAGAATGATCCGATTCGCTCTGGCATCGAGCTTGTTCTGTTCATATTCTTCGTCCGCTATCTCTTGTCGCCCTCCTATTCAACCCAGAAGCAGAATTTCATCAAACTCCGCGACGATGTACGTTGAGTTCGACACCCTATCCCGACCCCTTGGCTCTGAAGCTCCGAGCATTTGGCTGACACTGGTGGCTAGGAAATCGACGAGTTAGTAGAAGACTGGACCCCGGAGCCGCTTGTGGCTCCCCAAACAGCTCTTGAGGAGATCGAGGCCGAGAGGTTGCCTGTGATTGTTGGGTACGACCGACCTCCCTTTCCTGTCGACGATTCTTTGCCCGGGAACCACTTGACTGACGTTTTCTAGACCGACTGGCCCCAAGACCAAGCTTGCAAACGGACGCACCGTCACGAACCTTGCTTCATACAACTTCTATAACTTCAATGCCAACGAACAGATAAAGGACAAGGCCATCCAGACGCTGCGCACCTACGGCGTGGGCCCATGCGGTCCTCCCCAATTCTATGGCACTCAGGACGTGCACATGAAGACTGAAGCAGATATCGCCGCTTATCTTGGTACTGAAGCCTGCATTGTTTATGCCCAAGCCTTCTCTACTATCTCGAGTGTCATCCCCGCTTTCTGCAAGCGTGGAGATATCATTGTCGCTGACCGCGCCGTCAACTACTCTATTCGCAAGGGTATGGAGGCGTCCCGAAGCACCATCAAGTGGTACAACCATGGTGACATGGACGACCTCGAACGTGTCATCCGAAAAGTGGTTAAGGACCAGAAGGGCAAGAAGTTGACGAGAAGATTCATCGTCTCTGAAGGCCTATTTGAGATCACGGGAGACAGCGCGGACCTGCCCAGACTTGTGAGTAATTCTTTCTGAGCGGTACTTCCGTCACCACAGAAAGGAGACCATTGTTTGCTGACAAGGCATGCAGGTTGAACTGAAGCATAAGTACAAATTCCGCATCATCCTCGATGAGACTTGGTCTTTTGGCGTCCTCGGCCGAACTGGCCGGGGCCTTACGGAAGCGCAAAACGTCGACCCCTCCCAGGTAGACATGATCGCTGGCTCTCTCGCCGGCCCTCTTTGCGCTGGAGGCGGCTTTTGCGCCGGTGCCAAGGATGTTGTTGAGCACCAACGTCTCACGGCAGCTTCTTACACCTTCTCGGCTGCTCTGCCAGCCATGCTCGCGGTCACGGCCAGCGAGACTCTTAGCGTTTTGCAATCTAACCCGGACATCCTTACGCAGTGCCGTGAGAACACTAAGGCCATGAGGGCCCAGCTGGATCCTCGCAGTGACTGGGTCGTCTGCACCAGCTCGCCCGAGAACCCCATCATGCTGCTGGTGCTTAAGGCCGAGGTCGTCGCTGCGCGCAAGCTTACACGAGAGGACCAAGAAAGGCTACTACAAGACTGCGTTGATGAGGTAAGCAAGCCACTGACATACGAGAGTCGAGAAGAAGGTGCTAACTGTGGTTTGCCCATCAAGGCCCTTGCAAACGGGGTTCTCATCACACGCCTCAAGAGCATGCCCATTGCCAACGACCTGAACCCGAAGGACGACAGCTGGCAGATTCAGCCGGCGCTCAAGGTTTGCTTAACCACCGGCTTGCCAAGGAAGGATATCGAGAAAGCAGGTGTCACGATCCGACACGCCATCACAAAGGTCATGACCCGGAAGTCGAGCTCCAAGTCATCATAGCGTACTTGACTCACACTCTGCTTGGAATGACTTTACGGAGTGCACTATAGTGGATGAACTCATGCGGGTGTGGTTTTCACATGCGTACTGGGACTTGTGTCGAACATAGAAGATGCCGGAAATCGAGATCACGGCGGCTGGGGACTCGGATACCCTAGAGAGTTCGCGGACTCACTTGTAATGACAAACATATACATACTAATTAATCATAGAGGCTGAAACGACAGTCAACATTTACATCTCGGACGTCTCCTGTCGCACAGGATTTTGAAACAATCAGGGTGCTGAGCTATGCAAGAGAGAGTTCGGAACGCTAGACAAAGACTGGAAAAGTTTTGCCAAAGGGGACGTGAGTGATGGTAGCAAACACAAAGGCCGCACTGCCAGCCACCACCCACTTCCCGCTGTCAGCTCGGCCCCGGATCCGGCATCGGGCGGACGGTCAACTGGCCTCAGCAATTCGGCATTATGCCGTCTTCCACCTTTGTTGACGGAGTTCGTAGGTCCAGGCCTTTCGGAAAGTTTCCTCTCTTCCCCCTTCTTCATCCGGTCAAACCGCGGCTTTGGGTCCTTTTAGTGTTCTAGACCAGCGACACCTCTCTTAGACATGCTCTACCATCCGCTTTTTGCCCTCTTCCGATGGCTTTTAAGGGTTTTTTAGACTGAGCCCCAGAAGTCGGGGGAGTGACGAGTCTTCTTCGAACACGCGTCAAGGTCTTTTTGACTAGGTACAAATCGGTAAATACATTGCGCTACTAGGCACTTTGATCGGGTACCTGTGTGAAGTTGGCGTTCAGAGACCGGCCGCCTCTCGAAGGCCGGGCACTGCCTTTGATAACCTATACGGCGCCGATGCGGGTTTAAGCGAGAAGCCTTCACAGTACCTAGGCTGGTTGTGTCGTCGTCTTCTTCTTCGGAGGCTTGAAGTGGAAGAAAGTAGGAGGCTCTAAACCATATGTGTGGATCTGGATCCAGGTTATGGAGTATTCTGGTCATACGGTGACCTCTATAAGATGCCTCAATGTCGTTCTTTTTTCATCTCATGAGCTCTCGAGATCCTCACACATTCATTGAACCGTCTGAGACGACCATCTCTATTGGCTCCCTTCACTGTCCTTACACTTCTTGAGTAGAAACAACATTCCTTCTGTTGCAGTACCCAATCCCACCTCACAATCAAGTTGCAACGCTTCCCATAACCTTATCTACTGTAAGTTGACGCTTGCCTCACAAATCGGGTGTCGATCATGGGGAGAAAATTCCACGTCAAATGCTGACCTACATTGCAAGATTAAGACCCGTCAAGCATCGCGTTCTTGACTGTGAGCAATTGAACTTCCACTGGCCGAAATTGAAGACGACATTGAGGACCAGAAACTCAATACCACCAACGGCTCGACATTTGTTCATCTTTATCTCCAGATATTGAGAACAAAGTGCGACCAATACTCTGCAAATCAACAACAACCTGAGCTACGAAACCCATTTTCGGAAGTGAGTTAAGAAGTCCACATCAATTCCTTGTTGGTTTTAAATTCCTCGGGAGTGGTTCCTCGGCAGGGGTTCCTCGGCCCCTCGGATACCTGTTGTCTCTTTCCACGAGTGCAATGTGTTGCTTGTTACAAGTGGGAACCAACATTCCTGCCTTCGGCTGCGCTGTCTCTCCCTCCGCTCGTTACTCCCTTCCCGTCTCATCTCCTATTCTATTGTTTCCCGTACCTCATCTTACCCCGTTCCTGCAGTTCTTGGAACAAGACATCAAGCCCCTTCCGAGCATCTTTGTTGTATGAATGAACCGTGAGAAATCACAGCCAGGTACCAAGGACGCCCCCGTGGGGGTGGGGGACTACGCTACTTGAATACACCATGCCCACCATCTCTGGCTCTTTTGGTGTTTCTCGTCTTTTCATCCTCTTGTCTTCGTTCCCTCATTCTATACTGTTGCCCGTTGCCGTTGGCTTCGTGTAGTGCAAAGCTGTATCGACAGCGATTCGTTCCTTTCCTGCTGATGTTGTTGCTTTCGTTGTAGTCATTTTCTGACCCTACCATTCTTCTCTCTCGTTCAATCCTGATTCCAAACCTGTTTAACTCACGATTCTGTCGCTACAGAGCCCAACTTTGAACGATCCTGTTCCAGCGAATTCCAACCTCAGCCGAAGCCTAAAACCACGGGCGTCTACACCACCATATTCTCTGGTATTTTTACTTTGCCTCAATCGAGCCCACTCACCACGCACCGCTACGCTATACAAGTCGCAAAACGGAAATGAAGTCTGCCGGTCTATCGTCAACACTGGCATTCGCTGCCTTGCTTGGGCTCTCGGCTGCTCATCCCAAAGGTGAGTCAGCCTTGTTTCGTTGCCATGCTATCTAAGAGCATATCTGACACTATTATACAGGCTCTAGAGATGTCAATGGAGCAATTATTCGGTCTGAGAAGATCCTCGTTACTGATCCTTCACTCAACGAGGCGACCGAGGCCCCTCAAGTCGTTGTCTATGTCGACGAAGAGGGCACCCCTTTGGAAACTACCATCCAAACGGTCCGCTTCGTGCCGCCATCGCAATCACCCAAGCGCCCTTCGAAGCCTGCAGAACTCAAAACCCGATCCGAGGAACTAGCCACTCGCGTTACCTCGTCACGAGACCTTACCAGTGACCTCCTAGGCTCTTCTTCTTCGTTGGTTGCCTCGGCGACAACGTCTCTCTCCGTTTCTTCAACATCATCCTCTACGCCAATTCCCTCTTCCTCCCTTACTTCAAACTCGACTCTCACTTCAAACTCGACTCTGAACGGAATTGCGTATGCACCTTACACAGCAGCGGGACTGTGCAAGACGGCCGCTGAGATCGACGCCGACTTCACGGAGCTCAAGGGGAAGTACTCGGTAGTGCGCACCTACGGCACCGACTGCAATCAGATCGCGAACGCCCTTCCCGCAGCCAAGAAGGCTGGTCTCAAGCTCTTCTTGGGCATCTTTGATATCAGCTCAATCTCTGACCAGGTCGCGGCCATTAGTACGGCAGCCAACGGCGACTGGTCTCTGATCGATACTGTCAGTGTCGGCAACGAATTGGTCAACAATGGCAAGGCCACAGCGCAGCAAGTCGTAACAGCCGTCGGGGAGACTCGCCAGCTTCTCCGCGCCAAAGGTTACACCGGTCCTGTTGTGGCTGTCGATACCTTTGTGGCGGTTCTTGCCAACCCTTCACTTTGTGATGCTTCTGACTACTGCGCGATGAATATTCACCCCTTCTTCGACAGCAACACGGCGGCGAAGGACGCTGGCTCGTTCATCACCAACACGGTTGCTCAGGTCCAGGCCAAGCTCACTGACCGAAGCAAGCGTATCGTCTGCACGGAGACGGGGTGGCCATGGAAGGGAAATTCCAACGGTGCCGCTGTACCCGGTCTTTCTGAGCAAAAGTTGGCCGTCGACTCAATCAAGAAGGCATACACAAGCCATCCGAATGATGTGATCCTCTTCTCTGCTTTCAACGACCTCTGGAAGCACGCCGAGGCAGCGACCTTCAATGCGGAGCAGTACTGGGGCATTGGAGCTCTGTACTCGGCATCTGGAAAATAGGCAGAAGGATCACTAGAGGAGGAAGCGAAATAGCCGTTTGTTTCTGCTGGGCTGCGGGCTAGCCAAGGACGAGGCGGATACGTATGATTTTTTTTGGGTTGAAATGATGAGTATCAAGGCTTTCATGTAATATATATTACAAAACAAATTCTTTTTGGGAATGAGCTTCTTTCCAACTGCATTTCCCTTCGTAGCCTGGGTCATGCGTACATTTCGATGTTTTCAGAGCTTTTGGTCTTATGATCTAGTGAAATACACTAGGCTTGGGTAATGTTAGCTGTGAGGAGACCTCTGTCAGCTTCTTCACGGTTCCCATGGCCATGCTGACGGAACCTTTGCAAGACTACAAGTTCAACTCGTAGCGTTAAGCAAGGCAAGGTAAGTGCGGAGTAGGTAGAACTGTCTCTGTCTGATCTGATGGTCCTCCGTGGCCAAGAACCGGTTAACCAGGCCGTCCGGCCGGCACGGCCGACCGTACCTGATGATGCTACTTCGATCAGTTGTTTCAATTGGAGTTACCCCGAGGAAAAGAAGACGAGAAAAGTAAACATGTGATTGCGATGGAAGCTAGTAAGGGCAGCTCAGGAGAAAGGAAGTGAAATGAAAGTTGATTACTAAGTTACCCAGTCAAGTTCATAATGATAATCTGTACATGTATACCTATTCTAGAGTGAGAAATGGGGTAATGAGAGCGCAGTCGCAGGCAAATGTGAGCCGAGACATCTGGAAACACGCTATGGTGGAACTGTACAGTTGTGTTTCTCGAACGATTTGTCTTGGGAGGAAAGTGGCTGTGGCTGTATATTTGCAACGGCCAGCGGACTTGAGCGGCCCCCGATCACCCGATTCGTCACTTGGGTGAGATGAAGTACCTGGCTACCTAAGGTATGTGGCCACGGCAAGGTAAGGTACTCCATAACTTATAAGTAGGTACGCAGTAGGTTGGTATTCAAGGGCGAGCATGGATGCGCAGCGCTCTGGGCCTAAGATAGTGGAGGTATTACAGAGCCGGATGGGTTTTCGCCGCGGATCCCGGCGCAGAGCCCGCGCAGAGCCCCTCCAAAGTGTCAACCTCACTCCCTGTCTCCCACTTACACTTGAACTCAAGTGCCGGTATCTGTCTGTACTTCGTACCGCGTAGAAAAACACTTTTTAGAGCACCAGAAGCATCCCAAGCTTTCGTTAGCTGAGATACCTTAGACAGGATGCCACTTTTCCTGAGAGGGAGAGGGGCCACTCTCTACCTTACCTCATCGATAGCTACCTTGAGGTACACGCCTAAGGTAGGTACTGGACGTGCCTTTCAATACCTTGATGTACGGTCCAAGGTACCTTTGACGGCCGGATCAACATGAAAGATGCGGTGAGCTTCGGCGAACCAAAGCTGCAGCCTCCCTTACCATGCTCCGATTAGGTGTTTTTCCCTTTCCTCCAACCACCCCTCCAATGCACCACTTCTAACTTCCTCCTATTATTTTATCCCCGGGAGCTGCCTTTCTCTTACAAGAACTCAAATTCGTTCGTTCCATTGGTATTTCAGCACCTGCTCCAGCCATTCCCCGTCCCAAGCTCTCTTCTGAGTTTTGCTGCTTTGCACCCGACACTCAAAACCCAATTGCAACGTAACAACACGGCCGTGTCGGAGCCGCAAGCGCAGGCGCAATGGCTGCCTCCACGGGGATGGCTTCCGGCGGGAAGCCAAAGAGGACGAGGGAGTACCCGCTCATGTCGCGCCGCCAGATTGAAGATTTGATCGCACAGGGCAGAGTGGTCACAATAATTGACGATTTCGTCGTCAAGCTGGACGGATGGCTGGCATACCACCCAGGCGGCGACAAGGCTATCCAGCACATGGTCGGTCGAGATGCCACCGACGAGGTCACCGTGTAAGCACACCCTTGCTCCTCTTCCGATTCCCACTCGATCCTTCCTCGTCGCGGGCTGGGAAGAGGGAGAGGGAGAGGGAGAGGAAGAGAAAATGAAATCACAATGGCTTATATTGTTTTACATTATGGCAGGCTGCATTCCCCAGAGGCCAAGGCACAGATGGCTCGGTATCGAATCGGAAGAATCGAGGGCCACTGGAGGAACTTTGTCCCACCCATTCAGGGAGGCAAGTTCAGGACGATCGAGCAGGGCGGTCCCGAGTTCGACCATGCCGAAGACGACGACACATTGCGCTTCTTTGGCGCCTCGTCTCCCAGCGACGTCAGTTCACGAGAGGCCTCGCCTGTATTTGACACCACAGAGAACCACGTCCGTCACAGAAACGGCACTGTGCCCAGCCCGAATTCAGCCTCTGGCTCTTCGGCCACGTCAGTCATCGACGATGGTCACGACGGCAAGGAGATGGACGGCACTGCTTTCCTCGACTCGGAGACGCGGAAGCAAATCCGTCTCGACCTCGACAAGTACCCTGCCCTGGACGACGAGACGCAGTCAGACATTGTGCGAAAGTACAGGCTCCTCGACAAGCGCATCAAGGCCGAAGGGCTTTATGACTGCGACTACCGTGCATATGCCATCGAGGTATCACGGTATACGCTTCTCTTCGTCGGTATGTTGACGTTTCTGCGATGGGGCTGGTACTTTCCCAGTGCAGCTTGTCTGGGCTGCTTCTGGCATCAGCTTGTGTTCACCGCCCACGACGCTGGGCACATGGGCATCACCCACAACTTTCACGTCGACACGTGTATTGGTATTTTCATCGCCGACTTCATGGGCGGGTTGTCCATTGGATGGTGGAAGCGGAATCACAACGTCCACCACATCGTTACGAATTCTCCAGAGCATGACCCCGATATCGAGCACCTGCCCTTCTTTGCCATCTCCCACCGCTTCCTTGGTAACTTGACGTCGACCTACTACGAGCGTGTGATGGAGTACGATTTTGCGGCGAAGCTGTTCATGAAGGCGCAGTCGTATCTCTACTACCCCATCATGCTCTTCGGCCGCTTCAACCTCTACAGACTCTCATGGGACCACCTCATTATGGGCCGCGGTCCCAAGAAGGGCATCGCCTGGTGGCACCGCTGGCTCGAGGTGGCCGGACAGGTCTTCTTCTGGGCCTGGTTCGGCTACGGCATCGTATACAAGTCCATCCCCACCAACTGGGACCGCTTCGTCTTCGTGATCATCAGCCACATGTTCCAGGCTCCGCTGCACGTCCAGATCACACTCTCCCACTTCGCCATGAGCACCGCAGACTTGGGACCCCACGAGTCGTTTCCGCAAAAGATGTTAAGAACGACCATGGACGTCGACTGCCCGACCTGGCTCGACTTCTTCCACGGCGGCTTGCAGTTCCAGGTCGTCCACCACATGTACCCGCGCATCCCACGCCATAATCTGCGTAAGACGCAGCGGCTCGTGCAGGACTTTTGCAACGACGTGGGCATTCCGTACGCCCTCTACGGGTTTGTAGACGGTAACAAGGACGTGATCGGTCGGCTGGCCGAGGTGTCCCGGCAGGCCGCCATCTTGGCAAAATGCCAAAAGGTCGCGGCTGATCACATCCAGAGCGGCCATGGTCACTGATGGCATCCGGTTGGCCGTTTCGGTCTTGCATCTTAATCTCAAAAAAGCTGGTCTCATGTTCGTCATCTGGTTGCATAATGTACTACTCCGTATACCCTTCTGGCCGTGAGGAGAGTAAGCCAATGACTCTTTTTGCGACCGGGGGTGTAAGGAAGATGATGTGAGGAGAGGAGACATGCATACCAGCCATGTAGTCTGTGGCGCCTAAGCCAAGGTTAGCTATAATATCTGGAAGAATCGATCTGATATGACATAGAAATCTGTGTCCAAACGAAAGCGCATGCATACGGTGTGACAAACTCATGCAGCAGACCGCATGATCGGGTTGCCCGATCTGTACTTCTTCGTCCGACCTTCCTTGAGCCGCTCCTCCATCCCTGGAGACTATGTGACTACTTCCGATGTTCTAGCTGTGCCACATCCAACCATCGCTCTCAGCCATGTTCTGTATCGTTTCTTATTCCACCTTGTACGCGAGGAAAGGGCGGATAAGAAAAGGGGAGGAAAGAGGGGGGAGAAGGGAAACTATTTACCAGCAACTTACTACTGTACCCAAGACCTTCAACCGGCGTGGGATTCTCTCCTCGCTCCCCGGTTTCCCCATGGGCCAATGAACGTTGAAACAGAAATAGTGCAACCACAGGTATGCAAACAACCCACATGTCGGAAATACGGAGTACTGGAACGATCCAGAGGCGCGATCGCAGTGTCTCAACGAGCCATGCCGCGAGATACAAGGGGAAGAGAGGCGCGTTCCTTTCAAACTTGCCGGCCTTTTCCACGAAGTACACGGCGTGGTATGCGCCCCAGCAGTACCTTTGATGGGAGCTTTGGGCCTTTTTTTGACCACCACCACCACCACTGTCCTCCTGCTCCCTCTCCACCCAGACGTGGAACATATGGAAACGCCTCTTTTCCCGATCCATGGTTCACTTTTTCGATCGGATGTTCTGACCCTGGAATATGCACGATCTAGGAATCGATGAGGCTGCTGGCCGTGAGACCCCACGCCATATCGGAACGCAACCCCGATGAAAGCCACTTTAACAAGGATTCAATAACTTTCTGAGAAACTAGCAAGAGAAAGAGAGGGAGATAGCATGGGGAAGGGGTCAGTTGGAGAAAGATGGAAAGGTCCCGGGAGACAACATGAAAACCGGGGTGGCCAAGTACGGTGCAGATACACCACGGTAACATTGGAATAAGCAATAACGCCAAGCGGCGAGTCACACATCTAGTTCTACGCCGACCCAGACAGACGGGAAATCCTTGGGTTCAACCTCCGTTTCCTTTCAACGAGGTTCCAGTGCCATGGAAAGTGAACGCGCTAACCCTCTCAGACCGTGGGGTCGCGAACACATTGTGGACTGTCATCCCTCCTCGATCAACGAGCAATTCCCAGTCTCGTCCTTCGCCACCGTTCTCCTTGGAACAAACCCGCAACCACGGGGCAACAATGGGCAGAACGGAACGTAGCTCGAGACATACGAAGAGTCTTCATAGCAATTTGATGAGGGGGTTTGTAGAAAAAAGCAAAAAGGAGCATGTGCCATAAGTGGTGATAACAGAATAGTAAACGAAGATGGAGGAGGAGGGGAAAGGATCGAGACGCCGAGCCTGTCTAGGTTGCAGCGCAGACATGGACGCAAGGCTTCGGGTGATACGGGACGGTCAAATTCGGAGGCCAGTCCGGCCCCCCGTGCTCCTGTCTCATTGGCGCTTGGAAGAAAACAAGACGTAGGCGTAACATCAAATATGTCTTCGTAACGGCCGTTAGCCAAGTATTCACAGCAGTCGACGGGCTATTCAATCCATGTACTACCTGGGTATTCATATCGTAAAGCGGCCATCCTCGGCAATCACAACTGTCTTTGGAATCATCGGTGCCACATTGACACCTCCTTCGAGACAGGAGAATGGGCGGCGCTCTGGATTGGTGAAAGGATGGTCTGGATCTGATAGTCCGATAGACTCCCGTAGCCACGTTTCTGGGCACGACTGTAGGGGGGTTGACTGAACAACTCTCGAACAGCAACTCCTGGATAGGTCCTGAACAGCCTCTTGAACATGACCGGGGAGCCATAGGCGGTGGGCAGCTGCTGGTCGAAGCTCCCGGGCGTGGTAGTACGCAGCACTTTGAAAGCTTTGTTAAAAGATAATCAAGGCGCAGGTCGAGAAATGTATTTAAGATACTGCATATGCCCTGCATCATGCCCGAGATGACTCGAGATCTTCGACGGTCTCTTCAGCAGAGCTTTCATTAGCCTCTCCAGAGCTCACAGTCAACCTTACCTCTACACACTCTATGGGTGTACTGCCATAACCAGCCCATAGTCCCCGGCCATTTTTCAGCTTTGAGCAGTAGCCGAATCCGTCGCCCAAACGATTAGTCGGAGACGAGTTTGGCCAAGCTGACGAGGAATTCGAGCGAGCTCTTTCTCGACTCGACAACGGTATAAAAAGAAAAGAAAAAATCAACAGTTGTCGATTCCTCTTTCCACACAGCTCTCAAAGCTTGTAACCATGCCACAGGGCAAGAAGAAGAAGACCCCAAGGGCCTCGAAGCCCCCGAATGTCCCGAAGGGGCCCAAGCCCAAGGAGCTTCAGGAAGAAATGAACGAGGAAGCATACGAGCGAATCCTGCTTCGCTATGGAGAGGACGTAAGTGTTTGAAATAAGCTACTTGTTCAGCTACAGCTACCCCCACAATGTCTACCAGCTTACACAAGGTAGCACGACTTTGTGCGGCGAGCTAGGATTACTCTCGACAAGAAAAAGAATAAAGGCTCGCAGAGTAACGATCCACAAGTAGGCCAGTCAAGTAAAGGATAATAAGTGAGGAGCTTGGTAATGTCTTCAGTGTGCAGACACAACGGTGAAGTTTCGTGTCGTCGTAAGACACGATGAACAATGTGTTAGTACTTGGCACCACGTTTCGGAGGCCGCTGGATTCCTTTATCGAGTACTTATTCTTTATGTGTGATACTGCCGTGCCAATTTGTGATTTGGAGCCGAGTTATGAGGCTGGTAGCAGCGATTGAAAGACTGCCCTTTCATCAACCATGGAAGTGAAGAGTGAGAGGAGACTGATGGGGGAAGAGATGAATTCCAGCAGAATGTCGAGAGTAGGCCAGGGATAGATGGAGGTTGGCCAGGCCGACCCAAACCACTGGAATTTTGGGGGGAAAGATGATCCAATGTGACTGGCTGCAATCAACGCCTTGATCTTGGCTTTGGATACCAGGATTAGTAAGTCGGTATAGGATGTTATTGGCTCACTGGTCCTCTCGTGCCTCCCTCCAAGTTCTCTCTTCTCGTAATACACTGGCGTACCAAAAGTATGTTCAATAGGTGCCTCTGTCGCGGCGTGTCACCGCCGAGGTTCGATACCCATGAATTGGCGATGAAAGCTCGGCAGTATTGGTCGAAGTTGCTGGGACTTCAGGAGCGGGGCAAAGACGAGAGGTGAGGGGCGAGGAGGGGCTTGAAAAAGAAAAGAGGCCACTGTGTAGATATTTGTCTCTTGGAGTTGCACCAATAGACGCTATAATTAATTGGTACTTGGCCGAGGATTCTTTCTCTGTTGAACATTGCGGGGTCGGAACAATCAATGCTGTCTCCAAGTTTGTGGAGATATCTGTCCGGAGATAAAGGAGTTGCATCGGCGCTTTGATGTCAGGTCAATTCAAGGAACAAAGTCGTGGCTGTGATATTTCCTCCCCAACCCGATGAGCGGCGTTTGCCGACATTCCTTGCGTGTTTACTCCCAGTAGCTAACTCGCTACCTACCTTAAGGTAAGTTTTTGCCCCACGTCAACCACGTTATCAGAATGACAGGAGGCTCCCGCCAGTTGCAGAGTCCCAAAAATAGCAGCCTTACTCGGCCCAATACCTGGGGCAGCAGGATAGGGACCTCTTCCGTACGGAGTACGGAGTAATTACGTCGTACTCTGATACTTAGCTGTCCCCACTATATTGAGCCATGCCAAAGTACCTACCCGTGCTACCTTACCTTGGTATACGTTCAGTCGCTGGAGATTGCAGGTTCCCGAAAGTATGGTGAGCCAGTTTCCCTGGGGCTTCCTGCAACTCCTTTGTCCGTACCTAGGTAACTTGTCTTGAGGTTTAGAACTCGAAAAGCGAGGTGCCTGGTGCCTAGGTATTGAGAGTAATCTAACTTCCCAAAGGCGCGGAAAGAAGATCTTGAGGTGTAGTGCCTCAGGACACTAGGAACCTAAGGTGCAGTTGCATAGGAGGAAACGGAAAAAGGTACATCCCATGAGCAAGGTACCTTAGGTGCTTGGGGGTATGGATGGAAGGGTGCCCAGTGGTCGGTCCTTCGCCAGTGACGCCACACCACCTCCACCTGCCGTCTGCACCCGCCTCTTTTTTGACGTCCCACGGTCCCAAAGCCTGCTTGCTGCTTTCTTGTCTCGGCTGCTTCTGTTTGCTCTTGACCCGGCTGCAGCCTCACTTCCGCGCGCCTATCGCGACATCACACTTCAACGCGGCACCTTGGGACATTTCGTCATCCCCTCCATCTGCAACTCCTGCAACTCCTAACTTGTTAAGTTTTCTTCAGTGACGGCTTCCAAGTCCCGAAGTCCCCGACACTTCCCACTAAACATTCGGATACTGCCACTGTGACCCGGGAGTGAACCCAGCTCGGCTCACCTACCTAGCTCAGCTCAGTTCAATACCGCTTGCCTCTCCATTGGCTCCTGCCATCTTATCCGTATCCTTCTCCACCATTTCGATTTCGACCCAACGCGGACTACCGATATTCTTACCTACCTTACCTCACCTGGACTTGAACTGTACCCGACTCGTCTCATACAAGGTCCTGCGCCAACGTTCCGGGACATGATCCCGTCGTTGCTGTCTCGACCTCGCCATCAACCATGGAAGTCAGCATCCAGAGAGCTTTGAACGATAAGCTCTATGACAAGCGCAAGGTCGGCGCACTCGAGTACGTCTTCCCACCACCAAAGGCCATTCTCACTCACTTCATCTCACTTCGTCTCATACTCATTTCATGCTCATCTCATGCTCATCTCATGCTCTTCACTCCTGGCTGACTCTTTCATTTCCGACTTGCTTTAGGCTCGAACGAGTCATCAGAGAGCTGGTCGTCACTAGAGACTATCCAAGAGTCCAAGCAATCCTCGAGCAACTGTGCAATGAGTTCGCATACGCGGTCCACCAACCCCATGCTCGAAATGGAGGCTTGATAGGCCTGGCCGCAGCTGCCATCGCCCTCGGTCACGTATGTGCCAACATGCACCTTTCATGAACTGACTGTGACTCCTATTCTTGGCCTGGACCTTTGTGGCTGATTTTCAACATTATAGGAACTACCCCGCTATCTCGAGAAGATCGTTCCGCCAGTGCTAGCATGCTTCACCGATCAAGACGCGAGAGTCAGATACTATGCCTGTGAGGCCATGTACAATATTGCCAAGGTCGCCAAGGGGGAGATCTTGATATACTTTAACGACATCTTCGATGCGCTCTGCAAGGTTAGTACGGTCGACGTCAAAGTCAAAGTAAAAAAAAAAAAAAAAAAAGCACCCCTCAGTATCTCCTCTTGCCGTCATTTCTGACCTGACCACAACAGCTGGGAGCTGACTCTGAGTTATCCGTTAAAAACGGCGCCGAGCTGCTCGACAGACTGATCAAAGACATTGTCTCTGAATCCGCTGCGTCGTACGTTTCCGTCCTTGAGGGAGAGTTGGACCAGCAGGAGCTCAGCGACAAGGACGAACTTGAAGAACGCGCTGCCCCTCCCACCGCCTTTTCCTTACGCCGGTTCATCCCACTCCTCCAGGAGCGCATCTGGGTCATCAACCCCTTTACCCGTCAATTCTTAGTCGGCTGGATCACATTGCTCGACTCTATCCCCGACTTGGAACTCGTCACATTTCTGCCAGACTTCCTCGGGGGTTTGCTCAGGTTTCTGAGTGATCCCAATAGAGATGTTCACGTTGCAACTAGAGCCTGCCTCGACAAGTTTCTCAGCGAAATTAAGAGGATATCTAGGATCAAGAAGGGCATTGCTGAGAGCAAAAAGTCGCGCGAAGGTGGAAAGCGGAAACGTGAGGAGTCGGTAGATTCCGGGAGTCTCCAAATCGGCCCGGAAGAGGGCGATGAGGTTGACTCGCAATCCGACGACGATGACAGCAGCGGCGAGGAAGACTGGGTACCAGGACAAGACGTCCAAATCAACTACCGAAAGATTCTCGAGATACTGACCGCCACTCTTGACTCGCCCCTTGGTAAGGCTTGCATTTCACTCCGCTACGTAGCCCTAGCCCGAATCACAGCTGACTCTTTGTGTGATAGAGGAGGACTCTCTCTTGGAGTCGCTGCGATGGATAGTCGAGTTCTTGGACATTTGCCCCGAAGAGGTGCTACCATTCACTCCCAAAGTCTTGGCTCATATGCTACCTGCTATGGCCAGTGGTGTTGAATCCATACGCCAAGCTGCCGCACGCGTCAATGCTGGCCTAATGGACTACGTCGTCTCCCTCTCTGACGAACCAGAAATCGGCGGCACCTCCCAGTCCATATCACGCATTCCAATTTCTGGTGAACGACAAGAGGGGCCATCTAGTGCACGAGCTTCCCTTTCTAGTTCACGAGACCTCGAAATGCGGAGCCCAACCCCTGCGCAGGGGCACAACCGTTCTCTCTCGACACCGGTTGCGCCGCTAGCTAATAACCATCCCCAGGTAGATCTGGACTACGCCGCAGCCGTGAACGCTTTGACACTCTTGTTCCTCAATGACCATGAGGCAACTCGTGTTGCGGCCTTGACGTGGTTAATAATGCTTCATAGGAAGGCCCCTCGGAAAGTTCTCGCGTTCAATGACGGAACCTTCCCTGCCTTGCTTAAGACGCTCTCGGATCCAGCTGAGACTGTCGTCACGAAAGATCTGCAGCTGCTGTCACAGATTTCTCGCAACAGCGAAGACGACTACTTTTCAAACTTCATGGTCAACTTATTGCAGCTGTTTGCTACTGACAGAAAACTGCTTGAGACACGAGGGAACCTGATCATACGTCAGCTTTGCGTTAGCTTGAGCGCAGAGAGGATATACCGTACACTCGCAGACTGTATCGAAAAGGAGGAAGATGTCGAATTTGCTAGCATAATGGTGCAGAATCTGAACAACAACCTCATCACTGCTCCAGAGCTGTCGGAGCTGCGCAAGAGACTTCGGAACCTAGAGTCGAAGGCAAGATTCCCGATTTTCCTAACTCGACTACTTTGCTTACGAACAGTTCACAGGACGGACAAACTTTCTTTGTCGCGCTGTTCCGCTCGTGGTGCCACAACGCCGTCGCGACCTTTTCCCTCTGCCTTTTGGCGCAGGCTTACGAGCAGGCTTATAATCTTCTGCAAATTTTGTGAGTCTCGAGTTTGTTGCAGAGTTCTTACGACCACTGTGGGCTAACGGGACGGTCACAGCGCCGAGCTGGAGATGACGGTGAACATTCTCATCCAGATTGACAAGTTGGTGCAGTTGATAGAATCTCCTGTATTCACATGTAAGTTTCCAACGGCCCACGTTCTCACTCCAGCTAACGGTCAAAAGACCTCCGACTGCAGCTGCTTGAACCTGAGAAATTTCCTCACTTGTACAAATGCCTATACGGCCTTTTGATGCTCCTCCCCCAGTCCTCGGCCTTTGCCGCCCTGAAGAATCGCTTGAACGCTGTCAGTTCAATCGGTTACCTCCACATTGCCCCCAAGGTGTAAGTGCTACTGAGCCGTACCTGTCCCTGAGAACATCCGCAACCCCAAAGTGTAATTAGACAACAATTGCTAACCCTCATTTTATAGGAACCCACCATCTACTGCAAGCTCAAGCTACGACAGGCCGAATAGGCTCAAGAGTAGAGAGGATAGCATCATTCGATGGAATGAGTTACTGGAGAAGTTTCGCACCGTCCAGGAAAGGGCTCGCCGAGCCCAGAGACACTCTGGCGATGTTGAGGAAGGCCGAGGCAGCCTCGGTGTGGCGGATCTGCGGCTTGGAGAAAGCATCGACTCCAAGGGAGCAAAGGAGGCGCGCAACACTAGCGGACCACCTGTTCCAGTCAAAGATCCCCCTCCACCTGCACCACCGGCGGCCAAGAGATCAGGTTTGGGAATGCGGCAGATTAGGAACCTGGGAGGCGCAGTCAGGGGAAAGCGGCCTGGTTAACGGCTGGTGAAGACGGCTAGTGGCCTTTAGCGAATCATTGTTCAAATACCCCGAACACACGCAAGCGCAAGCTAGCAAGTGTCTGTATTGTAGACGAATTAAGATAATAATCAACGGCCTTTGCGGGGACTTTCGCGCTCAACGAGCCCTTCGAATATGGCATCGCGGTGTTGCGCAACGGCCCGTACTTCTGCGCGAAGGTGTTCTAGCTCAGCCCGGGCTGTTGCGACATCATCGGGGAGGGCGGAAAACTGGCCGACTTCGGCATCCAGACCTTTCTTTTGGGCAAGGAGGTCAAGAAAGTCGGCCTCGTCTTGAGCAACCTTCTCGATGGTAGGATGGGAGGCAGCCGGGGATTGGTTGAGGGTAGCCATGCGGTCCTTGAGTTCGGGGATGCGCGCGGCCATCGTCTTAATCCTCCTCTGCATGTCCAAATTCTGCCGAGCCAGGTCAGCGACGGGTTTGTAGTCGTCACTTTTCAAGGTGCGCAGCATCTCGCTGGCCATGGTAGCCTCTCGCTCAATGTGGCTTTGAAGGATGTGCACACGAACGCGCATCTGTTCTAGCTCTGAGGCTTCAGCATGCAGAGCAATCATGGAACGGCCAATGCTCTCAGCATCTGGGTGGGCTACGGAGAGCTGACATGACAAGGTGGCCAGCGCATTCAGCGCGGTGCGTCCTTCACGGGTGAGGTGATCCTGCACGGTGCCGAGAATCCTCTCCCGGACGGTGGCCGAGGTCGGGAGATCCGATTGGGTTTCGAAGCGGTCTTGGGCGATGCTGAGCTCCTGCAGGGCGGCGGCCTCGGCTCGAGCGACTACTTCACGCTCTTCATCCGCGGCTTCGTTGGTGTTGGCCAGGGCGAGGAGGGCTTTGAGAGTCTCGGGATTGCGCTCGAAGGGCGGGACGGACCGGCCCTGGTATTTTGAAGCGAGCCAGCTATCAACATAGCTCCAGTCTTTGGCGGTGGAGGCGGCGATGCGGGCTATCGAGGGTGAGAATATGGCAGTTGAGGGTGGAAGATGAGCCATGTTGGGATGTGGCGAGGTTCAGCTGTCTCTTTCGTGTGTAGAAACTCATGTAGAGGCACCCCGCTTTGGTATGAGCGGTTGAGTTACCGGGCTAGTAACCGCAGCTATCTTTGTCGTTGTTGCTTGTTTCCGGTATTATTGTCGAGGAATTTGAAGTGCATTGGCTGCTTTGTCTCGCACTGATTGGCGGTGGGAGGTTCTGGAAAGCAATGCAAGTGAGATGCAGGGTACGTACGGTACGTAGTGTTCTGTACCTATGTAAGGCACTCCGTACAGAGCTCTGCCTAATTAGGCAGAGTGTAAATGAGACCCCTGCAAAGAAGCGCCAAGTGGGTCCGATCTCCGTTGTATCTACTTCTGGAATCTGGACACTTCAGCGCGTCTCCCAAGTGAGAGTCCCCGTCGCATTCATTGACGGAATATTGAGTTTGCGACTCGATCATCCAGGGGTGGCAACTTCAAGGTAAAGCGCTGTCCACTCTGCCGGTTTGCTATGCAGTGTCTACGGAAGAACCCCAAGCAAAAGAAGATTCGTGTTCATTCTCATGACTTGGTATTGCCTTGCTATGATATGCCAGTTGTTCAAGAAAATCATGGCTGCAAGAAGAGCCGACGGGTGTTTGTGTACTTCTAAATAATGTACAGCATCTCCGGGAGAAGGAGGCTTGTCACTGTCAGCCCGTTAAGGAGTACCTGCCCCACAGCTTTGGCTTTATGTAGTCGTGTGTAGTTCTCATCCTATCCGTATTACTTGGCTTCTTTTGAGGACAACTTTTCCAATTTCCTCACTCTTTTTATTTATCCCCCCCCCCCCCTCTCTCTCCCTGAGCCTGGGTTCTTTTATTCTTTCTCCTTCGAAATCTGTCCATATACTCCTACCCTCAGATCTGGCTCTGAGCAACAAATTTCCCTTCACTCGTTATTCGCATTCACCTGGCGCCAGCCATGTACGTCCGCCTTTGCGCCCTGGCTTTCGCAGCCAGTTTGCTCTCGACGCCCGCTCTCGCCATATCCGCCGACCAGATACCCTCCGATACCCCCGTGTCTTCCCTCCTGACTACCGCCCAAGCTCACCTTTCAAAGGGCCAGACGTCCGATGCACTTGTGTACTACGATGCCGCCGTCGCCCGCGATCCTTCCAACTATTTGACGCTGTTCAAGCGCGCGACAACCTACCTCTCGCTCGGCCGTACGAACCAGGCAACCGAAGACTTTAACAAGGTTCTGTCACTCAAGCCCGGCTTCGAGGGTGCCCATGTGCAATTGGCCAAGATCAAGTCCAAGATTGCAGACTGGGACGGCGCAAGGGAGCAGTACAAACTGGCCAAGAAGGACCCCGCCTCAGCTGAGCTCGCTGCTCTCGACGAAGCCCAAGGCGCTGCCCACCTCGCTGAGGCAGCTGAGAAGAGTGGCGACTGGGAAGCCTGCGTGGGACATGCCGGCCAGGCCATCATGACCGCCAACCGAGCCATTTCCCTGCGTGAGATGAGATCGCGCTGCCGTTTCCAGCGGGGTGAGGTCGAGGAGGGCATGAGCGATCTGCACCACGTATTGCAGATGAGGCCAGGAGACACGACGCCGCACATCAAGATCGCCGCTATCACCTTCTACGGACTCGGTGATCTCCAGAACGGCATGGCCCAAACGCGGAAGTGCTTGCACTCCGACCCCGATTCAAAGCCCTGTAGGAAGCTTCTAAAGCAACAAAAGGCCATTGAAAAGACCCTAAACAGGGTCAACAAAGCTTTCGAGAAGAACCAGCCCATGACCGGTGTCAAGCTGCTGATCGACTCTGCCGACGACACCGGATTGATCACAGATATCAAGACCCAAGTCGAGGAACTGCGCGCCGACAACACCATTCCCTCCAGCGCTCAGTCATCGCTGTACATTCAGGTGGCAGAAATGGCCTGCCAAGGTTACTACGACGTAAGTACAACACTCAACTCAATAAGTCGCACTTGAACTGGCTAACAACCGCCATAGATGAACGGCAAGAAGGCCAAGCAATACTGCGAAGAGGCCATCGCTCTCAATGAGCAGTCGTTCTATGGCTTGCTATACCGCGCCAAGGTCATGATGGACGGAGAAGAGTTTGAGGCGGCCATCAGGTCTTTCGAGGAGGCTAGCAAGATCCGCCCAGACAAGAACGACGTTGTCCAGCCCCTCATGCAAAAGGCCCAGATTGCATTGAAGCGGAGCAAGACGAAGGACTACTACAAGGTGCTCGGTGTTTCTCACGACGCCGACGAGCGCCAGATCAAGCAGGCGTACCGCAAGCTCTCCAAGATTCACCACCCCGACAAGGCCGCCAAGCAGGGACTCACCAAGGAGGCGGCGGAGAAGAAGATGGCATCCATCAATGAGGCGTATGAGGTCCTCAGCAACCCTGAGCTCCGCGAGCGTTTCGACCGCGGCGACGACCCGAACAACCAGGAGCAGCAAGGCAGCCCGTTCCAGGGTAACCCCTTTGGCGGCGGTCATCCGTTCATGTTCCAGCAGGGCGGCGGCGGTGGAGGCCAGCAATTCCACTTCAAGTTTGGCGGAGGAGGTGGTGGTGGTGGCTTCCCCTTCTAAAGAAGACGCGGGGTCGTGACAGCATTAGGAAAGACTCAGAGAGAGCGCAGCATGGAATCAAGGAGTTTTATAGGTCAGAGCCTGGAGTTTCACGGGGCCTCACCCAACGGCCAACATTACATTTTATCGTCATTCGTAGTTTGAGACGGGGAAACGGCTTTATGCCATGAGGCAAGAACTCGGTCAATTGCACACTTCTCCGGATATCTGGGGTTGATGCCTTCGTCAGAGGTGTCAGAAATATACACAATGTGCCCATACATGTTTCGATCTTGACTTTCGGTTGGAAGCATGGAAATATCACCAAGCCTCGTTGTCAAGACGATTGCGCTTGCCGTCAGTGTGACGGCGTTCCTAAGGAGACGAAGAACGCCATACAAATCCAACGTTGACGCATTTCTATAACCTGATATCGTCTCACATGAAGCTGCCGAGGCTATAGTGCGAGCCTGCTCTGACTGACATGTCATCGACAGAAGACAAACCTCGCATTCTGGAGGCTATCAATCGTTCACCCCAATATGAGATCCACCTGGTTGCTTAACAAATACCAAAACGGTGGTTTAGTGCTGTCTATCTGTTGCTGTTACGGGCCTGTGGAGGCAGAAGAACATGTCAATGACAGACCATAGCAAATGTAGAGGAGAGTGAGGGACGGCATGTCAGATTAGTTTCTATAAATCCGTCCGTGAGCATACCAACTCCAGGCAAGTCCGTCATTTTCTGACGCCAACATGTTGAGTATCCTTTCAAACGTTGCATTTTGCCAAACCACCAGCTCCCCGGCACCAAATAGACCCCGCTCGGAAGACGGGGAGTGTCATTTCTCGCGTCACTACCTAGCAGAGGAAGAGAAATGCTCGCCGGGTTTGCTGGTATCGTGCCTATTGTGCCCCCACGTATAAAAAGACCAATTCGGGGGTCCGAGTTCCTCATGGGCCTCGACCCTGCTATCTAAATTTACAAGACCGCTCTAATCGGTGATCGAATCGTCAATGACATTCTTTTCTATATGCACAGCGGCGTACCGCCTTCAAGGGTTGGGGTTGTCGTTCTTGGAGATGAAGTAGGCCCTGCAAGGTGGTTGCATTAGAATAATGCTTTTCATATGGGGGATCAAGGGCAACATACTTGCAAGCCTCGTAGGCAGACCAGCAAATGGCCGTACTGGGCATAGTGGTCACAACGCGGGGGCGTACGCCCTTGAAAAAACCGCGGAAACCCTCACGCTCGTACAGTAACCGGCAACCAGCCATGAATCCGTTCACGTTTCTCAATGCTGGATCGGTGGCAGTTCCTCGGGTCTGAAGCATCGTCTTGATGACATCCATCGGTGTAGTCAAAGCGGCGGCGAAACCACCGGCGACACCACCAGCCAAGCAATGCGTTGTGGGATCGTATCCCTTGTTTGGGTTCATGGCCGTCGATATGGACTCATATGCCAAGAATTGAAGGGCAGTGAAGGGCACCGTCATGGAGAGCGTGGTCGGGTAAGAGACGTAGAAAGCCGCCAGCCCCTCAGTCTTGTAGACGTATTTGGCGCAATCGGTCATGGAACGGTACATTTTAGCCGACCCTTGAATCTGCATACGCTGCTTGATGACTGAATTTCACTCGATGTTAGTTACTGGGAATGCCGGATGGAGGAACACGGTGATGTTGAGACCACGCACCATCGAAGGGGTTCATCAGCGCATCGCTGGCAATCGTAGCGCAAGCACCACTGGTCGCAGCAGCCAGAGGATGGTGGACACCAGCTTGGTTGCCACCCATAACATGCTTGACAGCTTCGTATGTAGCGAAGTAAACAGCATGAGCGGGACCTAGGATAGTGAGCAAAAGGGAGTCGTTGAGAACGACAGCGGTCACGCTGGTAGGATATCACTCACCGGCACCGGCAACAACACTGGACATGCCTCTCCACAAGCTCAGAACGCCCTCGCGACTGGCTATGCGGTATGTGCCTTGAATCACACCATTGTAGACGGCCGAGGGATTGGGGTTCAGGACCTGCATGCGGGTCTACAAAGCTCGGGGTTAGCGGATAATGGTTTGCGATACTGATATTTATGGAAGGGAGCCGCAGCGTACCTTGATAGCGTCAATCGGATACATGACGGTATGCTCCTGCAAACATGATCATCAGCTTCCGGGATCTTGTCGGATATCAAACTTGAAGGCGGGCCAGCTCATTCGGGGCCGAGACCGCAGGTGAAGGGTATGCCGTACCGCTATGCCCGCAAATGCCCCGGCAGCCATGTTCTGCACGAGGGAAAAATTGGGCGGTAGAGATTCATAGCTGGTAGAGCAAAGAGTCAGCGGGAGGGTACAGGTATGGTGTGCGTCATCGTCAGGAGGAGTTGAGGGTGAAGGGTGGCGGCGGAAGATGTGGGCGTGATGAAAGTGTAGATGGGGGCATTGCGCACTCGTATTCCTCGGCGGGCTCTGCATTGGGCTGGGCCATTGCGGCCACAGCAGATGCTTCGCCGTAGGGCTTAGGCTGAAGAGCCGCCAGATTGACAGCTGGAGGGGGATCGAGAGGGTCGGCGATGGCGACCACGGATGTGGCGGGAGGAGCTCTCGTTGAGGGAGAGGCGGAAAATATCGCGTTGGCCGTCTGTGTCGATGGCTTCTCTGGGTTTTTCTTTCCTTTTTACTCGCGATTTGCTCTCGTAGGCCTAGGGAAACCTATGGCTCTAGGCGTAAAATGGGATAGGGTCGTCGATGATCGATCGATTCGACCGGGAAAGTCGACGAGAGTCGGGCAGCGACGTGCAATGACGAGTGCGAGTGCAATGGAAGCTATCTGGGAAAAGCGACCTCGAAGCTCACGGCGCCGTGCGTTGGGAGTTGCGATGCACGGTTGATATGCAGGTGGCAGTTGCGAGAGTTGAGGTTGTAGGAACGGCGGAGGTAAGGAAGGCCAAACCACGTCGTAACTAGCGGAAGAGGGAAAAAAATAAAATAAAAAAGGCCAATTGGAGCTAGCAGAGTCAGGTAAAGCACAGGCAGTGGAGGCCGGGGCTAACGTGAAAGTACATTTACTGTGGATTGGATGTCGGGGCCGAAAGAGAGAGGGGAGGGAGCTAAGCACCTACCTACACAGTAAGCTAAGGTACTGAGTAACACCTGGGCACTTCGTACCTAGAGAATGGAGAGAAATCACATACTTTACGTTACCTGGCCTAAGACTTCAGGTACCTTAAACAATGATCACTTCTTGGTGAAAGAGACACGCTCTCTGTCTTGCAGTGTCCGCACCCTTCTTGACTACCTTGCCTATCTTGTCAAATGGTAGAGGTACCAAGGCAGGGCAAGGTACCTTAGTCGCAGTTGCAAGGTAAGGTACTTACTTGGTCGGGTCATAGAAGTCATAGATTGGAGGTCTCTCCTTCCAGCGGATTCAAGGCGAGCTGAGGTGGTTTTCCAAGGGGTTCCCGGGCAAGCTACAGCCCGACATACCAGAGGTATCTTTCCAATGTCAACGGACTTTTGGCCATCATGTACGGGCATTGATCAACCTCTTGGGCACCTTTGCCCATGGACCATTGAGTATCTATCTGTAGATATGCGTTGGCATGTTCACATCGCTAAGATACAAACAGGCATATCACCCTTCAAGTTTCTTGTAACGAGTGCATAGTGTTGACTGGATCTTGAAGAAGAAATAAAAGAAAAAAAGAAAAGAAAAGAAAAAAGGCAGAGCATGGCGACACAGGGAGCCAACGTTTATTCACCTGAGAGATGAGAGTAGAATGTATTGTTGTCCCAATGTTTCCATAGACCGGGAATAGATTTTGGGGGGGGGGGGGGGACCTTGGAGAGAGACAGGGAGAGAAAATAAAAACTCCCCCCGAGAAAAGCTTTTGTCCGTGTTCCATACCGCCCGGTGCCAGACAGTGTCCTCAAAGGTGTCCCAGCTCGACACTCAAAGGGACAGTCCAGATTCCAGACTCCAACCTCGGGTCTCGTCTGTTGCGGCCTCGGAGATCAGCAGCCCGCTTTTCCCCAAGACCCGGCTTGCCTGCAAGCAGTAGGCCGTTGACATATTTTTTTTCCAGCTTTTCCATCCTGTTTTGTCAAAACCTTTCACGAGTCCCAGGCTCTTCCTATCATAGCTATCATTGCATCTGGTATTTTGGAAATCTGGTCAGTGGCAGGCAGAGTGGGTCATCCTAGCAAGATCTGTGTGGATTTCTTCCCCTGACTTTTGTTATCAATCGCATCTCTCTGCTGACCCTTCGCCACGTCTCTCCATCCACATGTATCCGTAGGATCAACCACACTACTGTATCCGTGAAGCAATAGAACGCCACGGTCAAGGTAAGCCGCAGTGTGGCCAGTGTCTGTATCGTTTGGTTGTTAGCAGTGTCATTTCTACGTTTTCCTCCCTGACCGTGCAGATGCCAGAAAGACAGTTCATGACGCTGACTTTACATCCGATGTGACCACATCCACCCCAATAGTCGCACCCGACACCTCAGACTTTGTATCAATGTATCATCCGACCTTTCCCTCCATCTCAGGGCGCCAGATTTAGCTCGAGATGAGAACAAGGGATGGCTGGACCTCCGATCCCATCATCAATGCTCAAAACGAGCGTTGGAAACCCCAAAGAAGAAGATGACTGCGTTCTTTTTCCTCCCTCCTCCTCCTCCTCCTCCTCCTTCTTCTTCTTCTTCTTCGGTTTATCCGTACCTTCCTTAGCTAAGTCCGTCAAGGGTTCGGCCGACCCCCCGGATCCAGCCCGTGCTTTCAATGGGTCCGCCTGGCCGGTGCCTCCAGTCTTCCGACTCTCCCTATAAGCGCCCTCTGGCGAGTGGCTAGAAGAACAGTAACTTCGAGGCTACCCGGTAAATGGTTGAGGTGGTAATGGGTCCCTGAGCTGGGCCTCAAAAGAGAGTGAGCACCTCCACTGCAAACAATAAGTGAAATCCAGCCAAGTGGCAATGCCCTCAGAGCCTCACAAGCAAGCCTCCCGTCCGGCACTCACTCTCGAGTCTCATCGTCTTTCTAGAAGGACAGAAGAAGCAGCTGACCCTTGAGAAACCTGGTTCTGACTCCAGGCCCCGGGGGCAGTGACCCATTCATCTGCGTCCTCGCTTCGACACCTCTTCGTAAAGTCATGGAACCTCCGGCCTCGGTTCTGGAATTATCGCACCCCTTTGGCGGGTCATGCCATCTACCCCTGTCAATGAATTAGGTGATGCTCCTGCATGGTGGGCGTACACGGTACGGATGCGAATACAGCCAAAGAAGACAGGGACACTCCTCTCTCTCTCTCTCTCTCTCTTCTCCAAACATGGCATATTGTAGGAATCAGCGTGATGGGCTCGTGGGTTTGATGTTTGCAGAACTGCGGCTGGTAGGGAAAAGGAGACAACACGGACGAGAGCGTCGTAGAGAACAAGTAGTCGTCTCGTCTCACTGCAATCGCAATCGCGCATTACGGGATACGACCAAGGCTCTCATATTCGCTCATCTCGGTTGTCAGTACCCTTGGCCCTTTCGCCCTTTACTGACACGGCACTAGGGCCTCCATTACTTGCATCTAATCTCATCTTATCAATCTCCAGCCCTAGGACGCCCATCCACCTCGTCATGCGTCCGACAGAAAACTCTTTGCTGTTTCCACTGCCACGGTACACCGATCTGTTCCGTGAGCTGTTACTTGGCCAGCACTCACGATGTAATTACACAGCCTACTTACGTAGTAGGACCTACCGCCCACAGCCAACCGGGTGCTTGAACCTACCCACACTGACTTGGCTCGACTCTCCTGCAACCCTCTTATTCATTGCGAATTCAAGCTTGCGCGGCGCGCCTTTGCTGCATCCCTATTCTGCTATATAAACTGCCTCGCCAAGGGGCACTCATATGGTGCTCTTGAACACGTGTACGGGCTGCTCGGAGATACGACATCCCCCTTCCCGGTCCGGTCCGGCGTCCGCCCCGTCGGCGAAAGCAAAGAAGCGTCAAGTCCCCGTGCTAGTGGTCAAGATGTTCAATTCTTCTCCAAATCGTTATTTCCGTCTATTTCATTTCTATGATGATAGTACCTGTGTGTATGCGACTGCGCTTCTTGAGCCGCGTATCCTCCTTCGCATTCCTTTGCCAACCGTGACAGAACTGCGGCGAGGACTGAATGTGTTTAAAGCCAGAAAATCCATGCCCTCGTGAACCGTTCACGCAAGTTTCAATCTCGTGTACCAGTTAGTTAACGAACCCATTGTCTATGGTGTTACCGCATTATAGCCCTCCTCCACCTTGGGGGTTGCTACGGTGGGCCTGCTGAAATTGGTAAATCAGTCCCAATACCCCGGCGTCTTGCTCGCCTGCCTCAGCCATGCTGTTCTCTCGACTCAACCCTTTCGGCGGCGATGTCTCCCATACAGACTCGCCTAAAGGTCCCGAGCCCCCATAGATCTCGTCTTCAAACGGCCCTTGAGAATGCAGTCGGCCGTCTGTACCCAGCCCGTCTTCAGTTGACTCTTCAATTATACCTTCACCTTGGTACCCCCCACGGCCGGCTCGGCTCCGATGCGTACTTCGGGCGCCGAACCCTGTTGCGGCCGGTTGATGGTGTGGATCGAGGAGCATTGATGCCATCGGCGACGGAGCCGTCATCGAGGGCCCGAACCTCGGCGTTCGGGTTTGTTGCCCAACTCCACCACCAGGAGGGGCTCGACTTCGCGATAGGTCATGCCGACCCAATCTGGAGCTTTGCATATCGGCCGCCAGCGTTGGCGAGTTCAGCCCCGGGAACGCTGGTGGAGGATGGAAAGGATGGCGACTCCCTGGCGGTAAATGGCCCGGGATGCCCGTTTTCGGATTGATCACATAGTTGTCCAAGAAGCCATAGTAAGATGCTGCCATCTTATTATGCTTCGTGGAATAATAGTCTTCTCGAACGTCGCCAGGGCCAGACTGTTGCTTGGCCTTACCCACGCCCTTCTTGAAATCGAACTCGGCGAACGAGCAGATGTAGCCAACTCCATCTACGTGGATTGTGAATTCACGGAAGAAGTCGATTATCTGATCGCTGCATTTCGGTGCCGAGAAGATCAGTACCAGCGAGGCCGTAAGTATACCAATGATCTCCTCAATTAGAATCACCAGCTTCAGCTTGTAAAGCTCCGAGAATTCACGCTTTACGTCGGCTGTATGAAGACGGTCCTTCCAGTGGTCTGGCATGTAGCGCGTGTACTCAATGACATAGAGCAGGGCGTGCTCTGGGTTGAACACGGTTGTCTCTTCAGATATCATGCCTCTTGCAGCCGCCCATATGGCGGCGAACACGCCGATATAGAACAGTGCCGATCGCTCGGATGTGATCTCGAACCCAAGGAAGAGCTGCGGATCGAGGAATGAGGCGACAGCAAGAACTGAAGTAATGGCTCCTGCGACGAAGGTTACCGTTCTAGCAAACTGTTCCGTCATTTTTTTCGGGAACTGGTCAATGTATCGACTCGCGAACGGATAGGACATGTTGATACGCTCCTGGAAGAGATGCGGGACCTCGTTGAATTCGCGAAACTTCCACTCTGCAAGAGGCGTGTACCTTCTGTGGCTGAAGGTTGAAGGGTCTTTCTGGTATTCCTGTTGCCCATGGCATTAGCTCCTCTGATGTGATCTCATTAACATCACAGCAAAAATACACTTACATTGTAGTACGTGAATGCATGCACCACAATGAGATACGCGACCACAAATGGCCCAATTAACAAGTTGATGATCCCGGCGAAGACCAGCCTCGACTTCAACTTGATGCTCAAGAGGCCGCGGCGATCGGCTTTGAGGAACTCTTGGTGAACCTGGTTATTGGAGTCGAAGACATAAGTCAGGATTGCGAAATGCAAGTTCCATTCCAAACTTCGGGAAAAGAACTGATGTTGTCGCAAGAATGGTATCGGGAGCGTAAGATCGAGAATATCCTTGTTCATCATGGCTATCAAGTAGTTCTCTCTCCGCATGAGACGGTTGGCAATGTCCGCAGCATCCAACCTCTCCTTGGACTGGTTGCGCATCCACTCTCGCGCAGAAGGGCGCACGTTGATGGCTGTTTTGGGGTTCGCGTCCCGTAATGCCATGACGCGGGCAACGATGTCTTGCCAGGAAACGGTCTGCATATCCTCCTCCGGTATCTCTAGTAGGTATATGTAGAAGTTGCGCATGTGGTTCAGACGCCGAAGATCCATGGTGAACTGTACCGTCTTCCATATAAAGTAAAAGATGTACAGCCACAAACCTGTATTCCACATGAATGACATCTTTCTGGTGCACTGAGGAATCGTAACTTCTTTCAACGAGTTGCTATTGGGGATTTTCGTGTACTCAACACATTGAGTGAGAAAGGTCAAAAATACGGCGAAGAAGGCAGATTCGCTGGAAGTGTTTGGTCAGCATCCTTCATGTGTGCTATCAATATCCAGCAGATCCAGAGTCCCGACTTACACCAGGTGCAATGCCCGCGCGCACACGATGCACCAGAAACCGCTCCCTCGATAGTAGTAGTAAACATCCTGAACGAAGAAGTCGAGGTTCGAGACATTAACCCATCTCCACAGAGCCTTTTCTTTCTCGTTGTTGGATGCAAGGCCTCTGGAATATTGCTTCGCGTGGGGCCTGATTGGCTTGACGGGATCTGCTGGATGAAGCCTTTGCTGCGCTTGTGTTGCCTCCCATTGGGCATGGGTTCGTCGACTAGAGGGACCAGGTATTGCGTTTTGCCTCGACGGAATAGCAGCTGGCTTCCTTCGCCCAGATCCTTTGGACTGCGCTACCACTTCGTGTGGCTCAACCAGCAGAGAAGCCGGGACGTCATTATCTCCATCGTCATCCTGTCCCAGCCATCGTGGACTCGTCTCTTGTCGGATTCCGCCACGATGAGTTCTGCGACCAGTCGGCCCCGGTGTGGCTCCTGCAGGTGTTTTAAGCAGGTTGGCATTGCTGTCGAGAGTCGCGTGGCTGTCTTCTGCTGCAAGACCTGGCATGTGGTCCAGGTCGTAGTCTTGGAACTGCTCTTGCAGGTTCTCCTCGTCCACATCCAGGCCTGCGTGTCCTTCGATATCCAGGTCGCCGTCAGTATCTCCTCTCAGTTCCTTGTAAAACGACCTCGACCCTCGAGACAGCGGGCTGATTTGAGGGAAGATATTGGAAGCCATTTCGAGGAAGGGCAAATCGGATTTCGCGAGGGAGTAATCGGTCGTCAAGAATTATGGTCGTCGCTCATGGCGCTAGGTCGGGGCCTGGTTTGGGGAAGGAACGAACGAATGCAGCTTGCCCAACGAGAGGCAGTCGGATTTGGAGGCAGAAGTCGGTTTGTTATCGCATTCCTAAAGGAGTTTTAGGTCAGCTCGGGAGAGTGGTGAGGTGTAAACTGCAAAAGGGTTTGAGGGTAGCCCTGTTGTCGTCACTTGATATGAGATTTGGCGGTCATGTGGCCATCTCGGGTGGTTGCAGGTGACAGAAGCTTTGGGAAGTGTTGGGGGTGAAAGACTTCAGACTCACAAGCCTATACGGAGTGACGCCTGGTCAGCTAAGGTAGGTAAGTTGACAACGCAGTGAGACGAGAAAGCTAGCTATTGCACAGGGAATCTTTCAGTCCAATGTCAGGAGCGTAGAAAGGCGATTACAGTCACAAAGGATGCGTGCTGCGTGAGTATGGTGAGGAAAGTAGGAAGAAGACGGCACGTTGTTTAAGGTAGAGATAGATGCCTCGCCTGCATATGTCCGTTATGTCGGCCACGCGTGCCACGCTAAGGTTGCCAGGAACAGACGATATTCAAATAAGCGGCAGATAGCAGAAGCACCCGAAAGGAACGGAAAGTAGTGTCTGGCAAAGTTCAGAACGGGTCGTGGAGGGGCCAGCACCTTTTGCTTGGGCATCCCATATCAGTCTCCCAGGTCCCTCTAGAGGTCAGTAGCTAGGTAGCTGGTGGTGCGCACACATCCAGGTGACGGCATGGCTCAGGCGACACCGTGAGTGGGGAAGGTGGACACGGGTAGCAGGCGGTCAAGTCATTTTTGCCGTTGATACCTCCAGGTATTAATCTCGACCGCCTTCCGTTCTTTGGCTCGGGGGTTTGGACGTCATAAGGTGTCTTATCAACGGGTTTACTTGTCTCTTATCTCACCTTGAGGTTCCTTACCTTACCTTAGGTGACCTTCCTCAAGACCAATGGAGTACCTTAAGGCCCCCATGGAACTACCTTGAGGCATACCTATGATGCACGTACCTCAGCTTGTTTTGGAAGTACAATCTTACGTAACTCGAGGTACCTTAGGTACCTAGGGATGGGAAAGAAGGCATTTGTCTATCCTCCATGTCTTAGTTCGCAGTTACAGGTGTCAATCAAACCGAAAAGGGCATGTCGATTTCTTCATACCTAGGCAACTAGTATCCTGATCCCTTCGGATTTTGATCATCAACCACTCATTTGAGCGCGTTGATGATCTCGGCTGGCTCGCCTACCGTTGCTCATCATGGTGTCTGCTCCGCCGCCTTCCTTGAGACCACTGCCCAGCAGAGATGTGTCCAGTTCTAGTATCGGCAGTATGCCTCAGTCGCCCTCAACCACATCATCGGCGAGGGCGCTGAACCCTATTTCATCCAAGGTGACTACTGTTCTTTCCACATCGTACGCCGATTCCGAGTTTCGGGATGCCTTGCAATTACTCGACAGCCGCGACCTCAAGAACACGCCAGAGACACGCCGTCAGTTGCGGTTAGGCCTGCAGAAGGAGGTAATTGACAGCAATGGGGAGATTGTCTCCCAGTTTGGCCGAGTCGCCGATGTAAGTCCCTTGGCCCAAAATCACCGATCCATGGACTAACATCCCCTATAGCAATTGCGTCGCATAGGGGCTACCCTGGACAAGTTAAATCACAACTATCAAGATGTGAGGGGTCGGATTACTGCAGCTCAACAAGAGACGGGACCTATCCTGGAAGAGGCTTCATCATTGATGAAGCAGAGAGCAGACGTGGAATCTAAACAGCAACTTCTCAAAACATTACGCAGTCACTTTATCCTTTCCGATGACGAGGTCGCGTCTCTGACATCAACCGTCGAGCCCGTTGACGACAAATTCTTCGCTGCTCTTAACAAGGCAAAGCGAGTCAGCCAGGACTGTGAGATTCTACTCGGATTCGAGAAGCAGACGCTGGGCCTGCAGCTTATGGAGCAGACGTCCAAAAATCTCGGTCTTGCCTTCCAAAAGTTGTATAAATGGGTTCAGCGGGAATTCAGAACATTGAACCTCGAGAACCCCCAGATGAACTCATCAATCCGTCGCGCCATTAGAGTTCTTGCAGAGCGACCATCGCTCTTCCAGAACTGCCTGGACTTCTTTGCGGAAGCTAGAGAACGCATACTGTCCGACGCTTTTCACGTTGCCTTGACAGGCACGACGGCCGCAGGTCTCGAAGATCACTCGGTTAAGCCTATCGAGATGGCTGCTCACGATCCGCTTCGTTATGTGGGCGACATGCTCGCCTGGATACACTCGGCCACTGTCAGTGAGAGAGAGGCTCTCGAAATACTTTTCGTCTCGGAAGGCGACGAAATTGCCAAGGGACTTCAGACGGGCCGGGCTAATGAGCTCTGGCAGCTTCTGGGCGAAGGTGACGCTGAGACAGCACCTGACTTTGATGCTCTCAAGGCGCTGAACGACCTTGTGGATCGAGATGTCTCAGGGGCAACCAGAATGCTGAGGCAGAGGGTCGAGCAAGTCATTCAGTCCAACGAAGAGACTATTCTTGCCTACAAGTTGGCAAACATTCTTGGCTTCTATCGATACACCTTTGCCAAGCTTTTGGGCAGCGAGTGCGCGCTGCTAGAGCTTATGACGGGACTTGAGTCGGGCGCATTAAGGCAGTTCCGCTCGCTCATGAGGGATCACATCGCAACGCTGCAAGGCGATTTCCAGCAGACGCCCTCGGATCTTGTTCCTCCAGACTTTTTGCTCGAAGCGCTGAAGCAGCTTACTGCGGTCATGAAAACGTACGAAATTTCACTGGCGTCATCATCGGATCGCGAGACCGACTTCCAACCAATTCTTGCAGAGGCCTTTGAGCCTTTCTTGGCAGGTTGCGAAAATATGGCCAAAGGTGTGAGACAACCCGCTGGTGCCATCTTCATAACCAACTGCTTGCTTGCAGCAAAGCATGCCCTCGAGCCTTTCGACTTTACTCAAAGAAGAAGACGGCGGTTGCAGGAGAGAGTTGTAGAGGAGAGCAAGAAGCTCACGGAAGAGCAATACCAATTCTTTCGTCGTGGTTCTGGTCTGGCACAGATTCTCGAGTCCTTGAGTAACCTTACAACGGATGCCAGTGACGTGAAGAAGGTAGCGTCGCTTGAGGAGGTACAGCCGCCAGCTCTGAGTCGAGCCAGCCAGGCTCTCGACGACTTCTTACCATCGGCGCTGATGGACGCCATGGAGAATGTGAAGCGGCTGCAAGATTCGAGTCTAGGGCGAGATCTCACGGAGAGGGCTGCGGAAAGATTCTGCGACGAGTTTGAGCACGTCGAGCAGATGTTGCTTTTGGCGGACGAGCTGTCAGTCGGTGACGGTGCGTCGGCTGATGAGGGCGACGAGCCCCAGTTGCTGCGAGACCTATTCCCTCGAACCACGGGGGAGATCAGGGTCCTCTTATCTTAAAGGGAACGTGGCGGGGAAGCCGAGGGTGTCTGACCGAGGAGATGGCATTTACAACACCTATGTCAAAGCGATGCCAACGGTGCCGCAGTACTACAACGCTATGTTTGCCTTACCATACGTTGCCTGTGGACAGGAAAGCTGGCTCAGCCAATCCCCCAGTTTCTCAACCTCACTCTAAGGCAGATCTGATCAGACAGGATATCGTTTGATTAAGGCTTTGGCGGGGACTGTATGACAGGTAGACTTACAGCAATAACTAGAGCCTAAAGGTCTTCTACACCTCCAATGCCCAGTCGTCCCCTCGTATTGTTATCGCCCAGTCCTGTGTACAGACTATGTGCTTCAAAAGTATGCTTTGTGACTTATCGCTCACCTGAGGTGTAATTTCCAGATTTGCTATCAGGTGCTTGGCTAGTCTTGGTATTTTGACCTACACACGCTATCTTAAGTACCTTGCCTACTTATGTGTGCAACTGATATTGTAAGAGCATCTGCAGATACCCCGAGGTAAGATATAGTTATGTATTGCCAGAACAGGCACCTGGTCGACCTCACGCTCATTACCTTCACCCCTATTAGCAAGGCACTTGGGATCCCGGGTAGTGGTGTTCCCCTGGCTGGTAACTCACCCTTACCTTCACTAAAGCAAGCGGGTAGGTACCTGCCTACCTTAGGGAGGGAGCTAGCTAGTGACGCGTGCCACACTCCCTAAGGTACAGATGACCTCCGCTGGAAGTTGCCGCCTGCCTTGCCATTGCTTTACCCCCACTCAGCCACCAAGAGCGACGTCACTGCGGCCCGCTAGCCTTCAGTTCCGTCCCCCCCCCCCCCCCCCGCGCCATCATTCGCCGGCAAACCCTCTGCGAGAGAAACAAAGGCATCCTGGCCCTGAACTTTGCCTGACCTCAACCTCAGCTCCAGTTCGCTCAACTCCATTTCCCCCGGTGAAAAACTCATCCCGACTGCTTCGACGTTCCGGATCGTGACGAAATTCCTGTTTCAACGTCAGAACAATACCGCGTCTCCACTCAGACTTGGACATACTATGGTCTGGCTTCCAGTACCATGTCACGCTCTCGGGGCCTTGCCATCCTCCAGAAGACATACGATGACAGCTACTTGAAATGCTCCACTGCTGTTTACTATGAAAGCCAGGTATGTCTTTGCTTGCTCCGGACCTCGATGGCGTGGCATACCAATGGAAGATTTGTCTGTGCTAATTCAAGTTATCCCATGTCCTAGGGTGACGAGACCGAGGCGATGCGATGCTGGAGGAATGCTCTAGACCAACTCAACGACCAACGCATCACCAAGCTGCTACCCAATTACGTTGCTGGAACCGAAACAGAAGACGCCTTGATAGATTCTTTGCGCAAGCTCGAACTGCAGTGCAAGGAGCGCATTGACCTGCTTGAAGCGTTACGAATATCCCGACAAGACGCCTTGACTCCTCAACCCAATAACCCGCCCACTCCGAACCGCTCCATCTCCCCCGACCCAT